TCTAAGGTGCGTTTCCTTCGCCAAGCAGCATTTATTTAATCACAATCTAGCAATGTTGGAGTATGATGAGGTGATTCTCCATTAATCCTTCCACCACTTGTTTACTTTCTGATTATCATTTCTCAAACAAGCGACGAGGTAATGGGCATCCAATAGACAGGATGGCTACATGAACGCATTAAAAAAACGATGTATCTGATTGAACTTGAAGACACTGACGGATGAAACCAACAAGTTGATGGGAAAGGATAAGTTCTGACAATTATGTTTATTGTATCATGTGTCGGTAGGGTGTTTGTACCTAGGAGACCTCTGCGTGTTTCCATCTTACTGGCGTCCTATCGAGTGTCAACCATTAGCCCTGACGCAGACCGCCTGTCTTTCAACCCCTGTCTGGGCGAGTGATTCAGTGCTTTCAACCCCTGTCTGGGCGAGATGGTTCAGTGGTTAGAGCGCGAATTTACTGACCGGAAGCTCCGTGGTTCGAATCCAGCATCTATATCTCGGCTTCTCCTGTCTAGGCTTGAGCAGCCCAGCCCTCATGCCTCCTTCAGGTAGCATGGCAGCTAGTCACCGAAAAAGTGTCAAAAGTCAGTTAGAAATCGACCCGTTTGATGCGTCTGTGATGTTTTCATGGACCACTATCCTCAATAATGACAGAGAACAACAGTCGTCGGTGTGTTCCTAACGCGGATTCACAGAAACATTCCTCATGGCCATTAACCTTGTACACTTGCGTACCAGGCCAAGGATTTCCACTTGAAATCAAAGCTTCTTGTGATGTGCATAATGGTATCATTCTAATGCATTTTGAAAATTTCTGAACCACGGTTTAATCACCTGAGAAACAAGGAAAGTTTGTTCGTTAAGATCACTGGAAGATTACCAAATTCAAGGTACCTTTGCTAGGTTACCCAATGGATGCAACGTGTCAGACTTCCAGTCGAGACAGGCGATGCCAAGTTATAGACGTCATCATGTGATGGGTTTAGAAATCCACAGTAAGAGTGCAGGGAGAGAGAATGCAAAATAAGGTAAGAAAATCTGATACGCCAGAAGAGGTGAGGGTCAAGGTCGAGCAAAACCAGGCTGTGATTTTGAAGAATACACGCCTAGTAGATTATGGTAGTATGTCGTTAAGCATTTGTATTGGCTGAAATGACTCGAGAAAGCCTCTTAGCTAGGGAGCGAAAATTGCTGCCTGGAAGGTCCGTGGCTCGAACCCAAACCCGGAATCTCGACTACTTTTGCCCAGGTTTGGAACACCTGTCATTATCTTGGTCTTAGTGTCTCCTTCGGGTAGCACGGTAGCTGAACTCACAAAGGATGTCGCACACAAAAGGATGTTCAGAATTCGTCTGAATTCTGAGCTGACCTTTAATCACCCAAATAAATCTTGGTAGAATAGTGTGGAGGGGGACTGGCAACACGTAAAACTTACTGAGCGAAAAAAA